AGAATGAATAAAGCATATAGAGAATGAGAAGACAAAGCCACAGAGAACTACATAAGTTAGTCCAGACAGAAAATAAAAGGGGAAAAAATACATATACATATACATATACATATACATATACATATACATATACATATACATAGAGAGAAAGTGTCAGCCCAGTCTGAGTACCTATCTATCTATCTTTTAGAGTGCATCCATATGTGAGTCCGTTTGTTCAACGACTCCTCTTAAATGGTAAAAGCTATGGCCACCAGATTTGGTATGCGGCTTCAATTTTTTCCCAACTTAAAACAAGGTCAGGGTTTGGTTGTGCCAGGAGAACCGGAAGCTGTAGGAAGAGGACTATTTTCCATAATATGAAAAGGGAGGAGCTGCTTTTCCAAGGAACGCAATATGAGAGTAGCCATAGACAGCAGCAATCCTTCAGGGGAGCACTATCCTGCAATGGCCAGTCATAACACCAATGCAGTGGCCAGCAGGGCTAAAGCTCCACCACCTTGTCTGCCCACATACCAGTAAAAAGCACCCCCACTCCAAACCCCTTCCCCTCTCACTGACCTGGGGGGAGAGAACAGGCCCCTGACAGCGAGGGGAGTTTCCCAGGAGAAGGGAAAGAACAGGCCACAGGTGGGCTAGAAAAGGGGAGAACAGACCCTAGGCAGGATGGGGACAGCCTGGGTGGGGGCAAAAAAACAGGCCTTGAATGGGTTGGGGCGGTGGCTGGGGAGGGCAAAAGGAACAGGTCCCAGGAGGGCTGGGAGTGTGTGGCCTGGGGTGGGAAAGAACAGGCTGCGGGTGGCCTGAGGGAAGGGGAGAACAGTCCCTCGCCAGGCTGGGGATGTGGCCTGAGGAGGGGGAAAGAACAGGCCCCATGTGGGTGGTGGAGGAAGGTTTGGGGGATGGGAAGAGAACACGCCCCTGGTCCCCAGCCTTCTGCACCACCTCTCCACATCCCAAGGCCCAGCTCTGAAGGACCTGGGCAACACAGGGTAAGTTTGCTTAAGCGTTGCACGGGTCTTTAACTGAAGTAATTTTTTTGGAAAAATAAATGAATAATATATGTGCTTCATTTCAATGATTGTATTTTTTGAAAATGAAGGAAAATGAAGGCTGGAGTGAGAGTTCGGAAGTGAGGAGGGGTAGGAGGTACGTGGCTTGGGGCAAAGGTTTGGGAGGTGGGGAGAGCTCAGGGCAGGACAAGAGGATGCAGAAGTCAAGGCAATTGCAAGGTGCAGGACTGACAGCATGAGGCTCAGGCCAGGGTGGAAGGTGCCACCCATGGTGGTGAGGCTGGCACTGCTCTGGTGGCGACTCCTCTCAGACGGCCAGGGCAATGCTCCCCTGCCAGCGGGACCCTCCCAGTTGTCCCCTCCCAACAAGAGCAGGCTATCTGGAAGGGGGAAGATCTGGGGGCTATACCCTCCTGCAGCGCCTGCCCCCCTCCCTACTGCCTGCAGGCTGTCTGAAAGGGCCAGGCTCCAGGGGATACCCCCGGCCTTTGCCTCTCCTCCAGCGGCTCCCTTCTTGTGATCTGCAGGCTGTTTGGGGAAGGGCCAGGCTCCGGGGGCTGCTGCCCCTTCAGGCTGTCGGGGAGGGGGGAGGCTGACCCCTCCAGCAACCTTCCCACAGCCTGCAGGCTCCCCAAGGGGAGCAGGGTCCAGGTATGGGGCAGTAGGGCTACCAGTCTGGAGGCAGGCAAGATGCTGGAGCCCCAGCTCTGCTGGCCACTCTTGGTGCTGCAGCTGCCCCCAGAGCCCATTCTCAGTACCACATCTCTCTTCTCTGTGCCCCTTCCTTTCGTGTTCCTTCTCTCTCTGCCCCCTCCCTTTCCGGTCCCATTCCCAACACTTCCCATTTTCCAGGCAAAACCAAACCTTTCACCTCAGCAAAGGCAAAATCATCCCAGTCTCTGAAACTGCTTTTTCACAATTATGTATATTCTAAAAGTGAATTACTATTTTAACCAGTATTAATTATTAATGCATTTTCTGCCCCCAAAATAGAGATGAATCCAAGCAATACTATTAGTCTATAATGATCATCATCATAACTTATAATTATCATAACTTACGGTAAAATGGAGAACACTTTCTGTACTACCAGTAGCATGAAATCTTTGCACTACAGAGTCTTACATAAATCCTGTTGTTAAGCAACATCCAAAGACTATACTTCCAATATAAGTACCTTAAAATATATACTCAAATGCCAAGGAGACAAAACTGAAACAATAACTAACAATTGCATTCTGTAGAGGAAGAAACAGCTAAATTTCAGTCAATAAGGATTATGTATGTAAATGAACTTTCAGATCCTTTCTAAATATGATACTAAGTTTTAATATATTGCATCTTCTCATTGTTTTGAACTTTTGGAAAATTAAATTTTCAGGTTCTGAATGAAGTAACAGACAAACAAAGTCAATGGGATTCCTGTGGCTAAAACCTCACACGATGCTTTGAAAACATCTCCATCTACACTTTCCCTTTTATACGCTTTAATATTGCTGTTTAAGGAATATATACAGGATTTAACACTTTGTGCGACTGCAGACCCACAGTTTGTGGTTATGTGGTCACAAAGACTGCTCCTTATTCTAGTGGATTTCTACACTCTTGGCAGTATCCATTAAGCAACTGCCTATTACTAACCCTTTCCAGTGGTGAATTCAGATTCTGCCTAGCATGTGTGCCAACAAACACAACTCATGGATTCTTCATCAGCCGACACAAGGTTAGAAGATAAAAGCTCCTTTACTGGCCACTCAGACACAGGTCAGTCAAGGACAAAGAGGATTGTGCACAGGGGCTCCAATGGGGAAATGGGATAGGGGGACAGTTGCCCAGGGCTCCATACCCTTTAAATTGCCAATAGAGGCCTGCACAGTGCAGTACAGGAAGCACTGAGGATGGCTGTCCTTAGCTCAGCCTTTTCTGTTCAATGCCCTGCCCTCATGGGAGACCTGGAGCCATCCCTTCCAAAATGCCCAGGACCTGGCAAAGTCTGTGACCAGCCCTGGCTGGGCAGTACTTATTCAGGCTGACAAATTCCCATTATTTCAGCTCCTAATGATCAAACGAAGAGGAAGCAGTAACCTTCACCCCGCCATATGATTTTCAATATGAGTGACAGCTGAAGCCTCCCTGATTTCCCTTCTCCATGGCTCAAGTGTGTAAAAGACCTATCCTTTCACTGAAGGCTTAATTTTTAAACAAATGTGGTACTGATTGCTAATTCCATCTTTCATCCAGATAAGGTTCTTAGAGTCATTCCTCCATCTGTATTATTGTGGTCACTCTTACAGTGTATTAAACCCAATGAATGAAAAGACAAGAGGAGGCCAGACCTTAGTGCAAAAAACCCGCTGATGGCTTGTTTGGGGTGGATTTACGCTAAAAATACATGTATTTTTGTGTCAGAAGACAGGGCTCCATTGCAACTGAAAACTGGGTCCATTTTGTAATATAGCACAGAGGGAAACTTAACTATCATCAAACTCAACAAATACTTTTGCACCAGCTATTGTAGCACATCAAACAAGGAAGAAGAGATGAGGGGGAAAAGTTCCCCAAAGGGGAAACCTGGCTATGGGATGTCATTAGAATCAAGCAAGTCAAATTATTAGTTCAAAAATTGCAGAAAATGTTGGAATTTTCCTCAGAAGAACTCAGAGGCAGGGATTAAAGCTTCCTGCTGCTCTGTAGGAGGAATTGGTAACTTGTGAAAAATCACAGGCAACAAGGAAATGCCTCACCAACCGTAGCCCCCCAGCAGTCTGTCCACAGAATTAGCTCCTTCCGGTGTCCGGGGACCTTTCCTCTGGCAGTGTTTCCCCCTTATCCTTCTGGCCGCGGCCTCCTCTTCAGGACACCGCCCTCCGGCAGTGCCCACAGCAGTCTCTGAGCCCCCCTTCCGGGGGTCGTTGTTTCCTCAGTGGGCCTTTCACCAAGCCCCGCAGTCTGGGGTTCTGTTTGGCCCGAGCTCGCCTAGCCCCGCCTTGCCTCCCCAGCCCTGCCCTAGCTCCAGGGAGCCTCCTTCTCCCTCAGCTGCCAGGCTCTCACTGCTCTCCCCCTATGGGAGCAGCAGCCCATCATTTTATATGGTTCCCAGCTGGGCCCCAATCATCCAACATGGCCTCAGCTGGAGCCAAACTCCCAGACCCTGCTTCAGGCCGAGGTTTGCTCTTAAAGGGCCAGTGCAGGGCGGACGCCCTGTCACACCAACATATCTGGTTCTGCATCCAGACCGAAGTACCTACTGTGATGGATGGATGCTCTTTAGTACAAAGAATTGTTCTATCTAAATAGAAATGTTTCACCAGTGGTTAATACATATATGCTGGAACAGTCTACGATTTAGGCTTTATCAGTGAGACAACTATTCTGTATAGTATACGGGCTTTCCTACACTATAAAAATGGAACAGTGCTTTCACAGTGTAAGGGAGGCAGCCATTTTGTGACACAGCCATTTTGTAATACAGTTGTAACATAGATGGATTGTTACCGACGCGACAAACAAGCTCTCAACACAAATCTCAAACAATTCCACAAGTATTTCCATTGACACTTTTCTCTGATTTAATCTATCTTTTCACCTTTCCTGTGTGGGTCACTAGCTGCCCAAACTGAACCATTAGTTTTTAAAAGCATTCTAAAAAACAGTATTAAACCTCTGTTCAAGTCCTTTTTGATCATTTTTTTAAAATTATATACTGAAAGATAATTCTTGAAAGTGTAACAAAAGTGAGATCTCTTTTTACCTTAAATTTATTCTACTTTATTGTCTTTGGAATATTGGATGGTGAAACATGTTAAAATCAAAGCATCTGAACTGTATTGTTTCTAATTCAATAGTCTGAATTGCCTTTTTAAGAACACCAACTCACTGGATAGGTGTTATTATTTGTACTCAGGAGTATCCCACAGTAATTACTAGTGTGTTTCCAAAAACACTGATTTTCACAATGAATGCAATAGTTTTTTGTTGTGTTTTTACCTCTCCACCTATGGTAAGTAAGCCAGGTGAATCAAGCTTCCGTTTCTTCCGTGGACCAATAGCTGCCAATGCAGTTAAGTTGGCATCCCTCTGCCTCATCTGTGCTAGTTCTTGTTGCTGCATCTATTACGGGGGAAAAAATAGCTAACATTAAATTTCATTCACATACTAAATGTTACTCTCAGTCCTAATCATGTAAAGTGCTGAAAGTTGAGAGTGCCCAAATGCCTCACGGGATCATGGTGTATATAGCTATAACAGATTTTAACAACTCAAACATGCAGTGTCAGGGTGAGATTTTCAAAGGCACTATGGTGACTTAGGTGCAAAAATCCTATTGTTTTCCATGGGTTCTGTTCTCCAGATCACTAAGCTTCCTTTGAAAATCCCTGACTTAATCAGTGAAATTTACTTCATTGGCAAGTAGTATGTACCATACACCTTCAGACCATGACTTCTATGAAGACTCTAAGTGTAAATGAAAAGGTAAAATAGCACTATAATTCAAACATTTCCTTTCATTTCAAAATCTGAAGTCTTTTGTTTACTATTTCACCCATATTTAATATTCATCTTAAGAAAGTATTCAAAAATATCTAGATCTGAACATTAGGAAGTTTTTTTCTGGCAATATAGTAATGAAAAGTTGAATTTCCAATTTCTGTAAGGGATTAGGGTTTAGTCACAGATTAGAGCAAGGAAAGCAATATGAACAATCTACAAGTCAGATATTGTTTCTTGCAAAAAGAGGGGGAGAACTGAAAATAGGAAGACATACGATAGACTTACGATGAAAAGGTCAGATTGTTTTACTCATTATACATTGCACAATCCCTTTAGAAAGAGTTAATGACCACATTTTCAACAGATTGTGGACAAAAAATCTTTACTGAAGTCATGTTAACATTATACAAAAGAAATTAAAATTTTGGTTAGGCAATGTAGCACATACATTTTAATTAGACACAATAATTCATGTCTCAGCATTACTTTCACATTTTTGCAGTGATTTGGTTTATTCAAAAGAAGATTTTACTTTTTAATCTCTCACTCATATAACTACCACAAAATATTATAAAACACTGTTTTAAGTGCTTAAGTAGTGGTCTGAGGTTTGTCACATTGCACTGTGACAAACAGCCCTTCAATGATAGGAAACATGAATTGGCAGGTGTGCTTAGAAGTGACTCAGTAATTATTTAACTGCAAATTGCACATACAATATGCAATGTCTGTTGAGTGATCAAGTGCTTAAATAAACAAACAGAACATGCTGTGTGTTTTCTCAATTCACCTTCTGTTTAAAAAAGCAGAAATGTATTAAATGTCTTATTTCCTACATAATTTTGGATTTCTATAATTACTTGTTATTGTAATTTATTCTAACTAGATTAACTGCATATGTTAACTTTGGCAAAGAAAGAGAATGCTTTAAATGTAATATATTTACATTTTAAATTTGATTATTCTTTGACATCTTCTCCTACTGCACATTTAAGTTATGTCTATTTTGCAACTTAAAGTTTGCATAATAATTTCAACACAAAAATTATATACATCTATACAGCTCAACCATCTATAGGATAATAGAATTAATTAAATACCAAAGTGGAACATGGGCACAGGGTCTGTACAGTAGTGCAAATGTCCATATGCACTTTGCTTTGCCAACTCATATTAGGTTTTTAGCTCAAATATCTTTGGCTGTCTTCCAGATTAAATGCCAGTTGGATAGACCTGCCCGCTTACCCTTTCAAGGTAGATAGGAACAGTGGTGAGCTCTAATCATTTACAAAGGTCATGATTGGAAGCTAGCCCGTAAGCAGTCATTTAAAATTCGATTGATCCCTATTTGTAGTCAGGGAAAGAAAATGGACATTTCAGCTGTATTGTAATTATGAGGCTTCAAGGCAACTGTAAATAGATGTGCAAATCTAGATACTGGCAAATACCTTAGAGAAGAAATTATTACTATAGTCTAACACATAGCCAGGAAAGGTTGAAGATAAAACTGCATATAAAAAAGATCAATCATCTTTTTGCTAATTTGCCATGCTTGCCAGCCTATAAGGGTTATCACAATTATCAGAAGTCTGCTGAATATTTAAGTTAGGGCCAACTGGCTTAGCATGATCTAAGACAAAGAGTGTAAAGCAGCGGGCTAGCCCAGAATGTGAAATTTTGAACTGGAGAAGAGTTTTAATGTCATGGGAGGCTACAGTCAGAAATGTCATATGAAAGGCAACTAAAATAATACAAAAGATATTATTCAAATACATCATTCCAAGTTGGAACACCTAGACCAACTGCACCTCAGTCCTTTTTTGGGTATATATATACTATTTTGTATTATTGTATATAGAATTAACTAGAATGTTTAATATACACACATAACATGATTGAACCGGTGTTCTTAGGATCCTAATTCAGAATTTTTTGACTTTGCACATGCAAATTCTGAACCATAAAAAAGGCATTGCTGTAGATTTTGCATAATGGGGAAAATCCTCCCTCACATTCAAGTCTGCCAAGTCTAGATTAGTTTGGGGCAGATTTGGGAACCTTCAGAGTGGATCAGTATCCATTTATTCCTTTACTTCTTTGTCCTTTCATTTGTATTTTAAAATACTGTCCACTAGATATTATACAGCAATGTGCCTAGTGTTTATTTTAATTACCACAATACTGACTGTTCAAGTAAACACAGAGTGCATGTGCAATTGACTAAAGTATATATAATACAAAAAAAAGTAAGGTCTAGTAGGTATGATGCTGAATTGAAGGTCAAAGGTCATAAATTCTATTACACGACCCTGTTCTGTTACTTCACCTCTCTGTGGCTTCGTCTAGACTGCATTGCTTTTTTGGGATACTGGAGGTATCCTAGAAAAGCAATGCCACATCTAAGGAATGCGTCTGCTTTTTTGAAAAATTTTTGAAAAAGCAGACACACTCTTTAACCATCCCTGTAAACCATAAAGAATGTGTCAAAAAAGCACTTTCTTTTGACATTTGGTGCGATATAGATGTGCTAAATTTCAAAATACCCTCTTTCAAAAGTAAATCAGAAAAAGATACGCAATTTGCGTACCGCAAATTGCATCTCTTTTTCCGATTTAACATTGTAGTGTAGACCTAGCCTCTGTCTGTTCCCCTCCCATCTTTTGCATATGTTGTGTAGACCATATGCTTTGCAGCTAGGGATTCTCTGTTACTATATACCTCATTTATGTTGCCTAGTACAATCTGTGTGTGTGTGTCTATGTAAAAATACATCTCCAGATATGAAACTCCAGATACATACACAATACAATGTGTGAACATCTGGTTGTCCAGTTCACAGGTATCTCATAAGAGAAAATTGCATCCCACAGCTCTATAACTTTATTACCTTTGTGTACAACTACTTCAAATATCATAAAACTTAAAAAACAACAAACAGTCTAGCAGCACCTTAAAGACTAACAAAGTCCAATAGACTTTTAATACTCCAGTCATCTAAAGAAGTGGGTTGTACCCACGAAAGCTCATGATTCAATCTACATGTTTGGACTTCTAATACTCCAGTCATCTGAAGAAGTGGGTTGTACCCACGAAAGCTCATGATTCAATCTACATGTTTGGACTTCTAATACTCCAGTCATCTGAAGAAGTGGGTTGTACCCACGAAAGCTCATGATTCAATCTACATGTTTGGACTTCTAATACTCCAGTCATCTGAAGAAGTGGGTTGTACCCACGAAAGCTCATGATTCCTTCTACATGTTTTGTTAGTCTTTAAGGTGCTGCTAGACTATTTGTTGTTTTTTATGTTTTTCCAGTTACAGACTAACTCGGCTACCCCCCTGAAACTTTCAAATATCACAGTATCATAGACCTGGAAACAGAGATAAAAGTAAGGGGGTACGCTGGACCACGGATATTGCTGGACTAGAGAGTGCTGGTTTTCAGAGTTGCAAACTGTACTTGAAAGCTGTTATCATGTCTCCTCTAGGTCTTCTTTCAGACTAAACAAACCTAATTCTTTCAATATTCCCTCAAAGGTCATGTTATTTGACCATTAATCATTTTTGTTGCTCTTCTCTGGACCTTCCCCAGTTTGTTCACATCTTTCCTGAAATGTGGCATCCAGAACTCACAGTACTCCAAATCTGGCCTAATCAGCACAGAGTGGAGGAGAAGAATTACTTCTCATGCTTTGCTTACGACACAACTGTTAATGCATCCTAGGATGATGTTTGCTTTTTTTGCAACAGTATTACACTGTTGACTCATATTTAGCTTGTGGTCCATTATGACTCCTAGATCCCTTGCTACAAAATTCCTTGCCTGGATAGTCACTTCCTATTCTGAATATGTGAAACTGATTGTTCCTAAGTAGAATACTTTGCATTTGTCCTTGTTGAATTTCATCCTATTTACCTCAAACCATTTCTCCAGTTTGTCAAGATCATTTTGAATTTTAATCCTATCCTCCAAAGCACTTGCAACCCTTCCCAGCTTAGTATCATTTGCAAACTTTATGTGTGCGCTCTCTATGCCATTATCTAAATTATTGATGAAGATATTGAACAGAACTGGTTCCAAAACTGATCCCTGCAGAACCCCACTTGTTATTTCCATCCAGCATGATTGTGAACTATTGATATTCTCTCTGGGAACAGTTATCCAACCAGTTATGTATCCATCTTAGGTTGTATTTCCCTAGTAGATTAATGAGAAGATAATATGAGATTGTATGAAATGCTTTACTACAGTCTAGGTATACCACTTCTACCACTTCCCCCTTATCCACAAGATTTGTTATCCTATCAAAGAAAGCTATCAGGTTGGTTTTACATGATTACGTTCAAGACATTTGCCGTCAATGAGATGAACAAGTTACCATTTTAAAAATAAGCTGCTTTGTTAAAAAGTTCTGACGTGAATCTGAGGCTGTATAACTCAAAACTTTTTCAAAAGAATCATCTTTGAGCTGTAATATGATAAAATAAGTCAAAAAGGATCATTTAAAAGTTTATATTCAATGAAATTACATTCTCAACTGTTTCTACAGAGTCACTATCATGACATTATAATTACCAGAAAAGGCCTTGATCCTGAAAATGTGATTAACTTTACAA